AGCAGTTCTTCTTGGGTCAAGGGGCGCTCACAGTGGGGCCCTTTCCGCCGCCGGGACTGGCCCTGTCTCTCTTGTACCCGAAGGAATGTTTGTCGTGTATGTTCAGCTGTAGACTGACGCATGGACTTCCGGCTGTCAGAGCCATCATCCTGTAGTTCTAGTGGCAGCAGAGCCTTTTCCTCTCGGGCCTTCTGAGCGCTTCCAGCTGGTGTGCTGACCTTTCGAGGCCTCAAACTTTTTAGAGGCTCCTTATAGGCTTTGGTAACTATGCGCCGCTTTCTTCTGGGCTCTTCTGTCTCTCCATCACTGGAGGGCTCATCCCCCTCATCGATGTCGAAGTCTGAGTCTACTTCATCCTCCGTGTCTGACTGGTCTCCTTGATACTCATCATCTCCAGATTCCTCTGTGAAACCCCCATAAGTCGTCTGGTAGAATTCATCTTCCTCTTCTGCCTCCAGAAGCCCAGAAAGCCGGTTTCCAGCTGTCTTCCGGGGGGCCCGGCCCCCAGCCAAACTCATGCCACCTACGGGGACTGCGCCGCAACCGGCCGCCCCCTCACCCAGTTTGATTCTCTCTTCGAGGATAGAACCACAGTTTGTCCCCTCTTTCCTCCAAGTCTTCAGCTTACAGGAGCCCAGTGGCAGTTCCCCTTCTAGGGCTTGACTACTGATCCAGCCTGTTAGAGCTGATTTATTAATTCCGTCAGAAAACTTGAATTTTCATTTCATTTTCTTTGAAATAATTAAAGACCCACACCTACATTTTACTGCATAGGTCCAATTAATTGACTTGTGCCTCTGAGCTATATCCCCCAGACCCAAATTTTTATTTATTTTTTATTTATTTTTCGGAACCAGGGATTAAACTCAGGCCCTTGAGCTTGCCAGGGAAGCACTTATTCTACTGAGCCAACCCCGGATCCCCAAGTTGTTGTGTTTTTTTTTTTTTTTTTGGTGGAACCAGGGATTGAACTCAGGCCCTTGCGCTTGCCAGGGAAGTGATTATTCCACTGAGCCATCTTCCCAGCCCCTCCCCAAGTTTTTAAAAGATGGAAATGTTAGGTTTTTTTTCTTTGAATTTTGTTTTGTTTTGCTTTTTTTTTTTGAGGCAGGGTCTCACCACACAGTGCAGGCTGGCCTCTGCTCACTTTCATAGCCCCCAGGCTGGTCTTAAATTCACAGAGATCCTTCTGTTTCAATCTCCAGAGTGCCAGGATTATAGGCTCATTGGCCTGCGCAAAGTGGTGCACTTGGGATTCCATAGATAAGACTATGCAATCGGGGATCAAACTGGGAACTTTGTGCTTGTCAGGTATGTGCTAAAGATGCTGAGCTATCTCCCCAGCCCTTTGTTTTGTTTTGTTTTGGTTTGGTTTGGTTGAGACAGGGTCTCACTGTAGTTCAGGCTGGCCTTGAGTTCACTATGTATCTGTCCTTGAACGCAGGTGATCCTCCCTCCTCAGACTCTCAGGTGCTGGGGTGGTAGACATGTGATACCATACCTGGCCACTGGGAACTTTTAAGCAGGAAATGCTATAATTGGCTTACTTTTCAAGTCATTTTGGGTGTTTTGAGAACAATGATGGGGAGAAAAATGGAGAAAGCATTAGCTGAGAATATGATAGTTGAGCAAAGGCTGCTTCAGTGACAGGAAGGAAGATGGGTAGGTTAATTTTTCAGGAAGGACTGAGAATAAGGGATGAGGGAAGGAAGAAATCAAGGGTTCAGGACTGCTGGGATACTTATGTCATTTAGATATAAGGAAAGACTCAGAAAAGATCAAGTCAGAGAGAGAAATCAAAATTGCTCTGTGCGCAAGAGTTGGAGGTAGCCAGCAGCCATAGGCATGGAGCTGTTTAAAGATAGGAAGGGCCCTGCCTGCCAAGCAAAAGGTCAAGTTCAAGTCCCAGTACCCCCCCCCCAAAAAAAAAGATAGGAAGTTGCACACTGGACAAATAAATTAGGAAGCAACGAACTATTCGTATGCAGTATTTACAGAGAGGAGACTGCATCCTACCATCCATGAAAAGCAACATCAACCAAAGCATGAGGCAACTTGACAGGTAGGACTTCCTGGCTGGGGCAGTAGCACACACCTGTCAGGCTAATACGGAATCAAGAATTTCAGCCCATATGGGAAGTTTAGTAACTTAGCAACACCCTACCTCAAAATAAAAAAATAAAAATGTCTGGAAACACAGAGACCCCCTAAGTTCAAACCCAAGTATCAGAAAAAAAAAAAAAAAAAAAAAGATGAAACTTCTAATTTATTCAAACACAGAGTGGAATATGATTATTTCTTTTTCTTTCTTTCTTTCTTTTTTTAAACTTTTTTTTTTTAATTTTATTTATTTATATGTGTGTGTGTGTGTGTGTGTGTGTGGCCAGCTCAGCCCACCAGGGGGTGGGGCTGGCTGGCATGTGGTGCTGGGGGATCGAACTGGGGTCCCCGTGCTTTGCTAAGCTTGTTCTAAGTAGGTGCTTTAGACCACTGAGCCATCTCACCAGCCCTGGAATATGATTATTTCACATTTACATTTAGACATTTGCAGAGGCTAATTTAATTCTCTCGGTCCCATTGCCAGCCACAGTTCTCAGGGGCTCAGTTTGGGTCCACTGTCCTATCACAGTAGCTATGAGACAAGGATCACAAGCAGAAGCTAATCTCTGGGGAGTCAATCTTTACAAACTGAGAGGCGAGGGGATTGTGGAAGGGCATAATCTGGGTCTGTGTCTCATGAAGTTGAAGACTGAAGTCCAGGACAAAAGAGGTAGCCAGGAGAAATACTTATTAAAAAGAAATAGCTCCCAGTAGTCCCAAGGAGATCTGAAAGAAGGTTACCAAGGGACTGTTTGTCTACGAGTTTTAATACCAAAAATGACCTAAGCTCAAACCAGTCGGAGTCAAACTAAGGTCAGCACTAAAAGAAGCTTATGTAAATGAGACCTGGGCCTTTAAGGAGTTGATGCACATAGCAAGTAAATGTCTGCTGGCCTACTTGGCTGCTATCCTGTGCGAGTAGCTCATTAAAAGAGCAAAGTGAGAAGGAAAAAATATTTCCAGACAGATAGGAGCAGAAGCTGTCATAATGGCCTGCTACCACCCTGCTGGTCATCTCGCTTGTCACACTCTGGGCTTATTCAGCTTCACCTCAGGCTTCTGCTTACCTGACCAAGGCCTGGGCCCAGTGACTCTCCAGGTGCCTGCTGTCTTGTCCCTAACTTGTCTTTCTGTAATCATTAGAGGTCCATTTCCTAGAGAAAGAAGTGGCCATTGACTTCCAGGCTAAGCAGACATTTAGAAATTAATCCTAAATTATATGCATCAAAAATAAATAAATAAATAAATAAATAAATTTTTAAAAATTATATACATCAATTTCATAATTGGGGGGCCAGGGAGATAGCTCAGTAGAATAAGCACTTTCCTTGCAAGTGCAAGGGCCTGAGTTCAATCCCTGGTTACACACACACACACACACACA